TGCCTGATCGCGCAGCGGTGCGAGTGCTCAAAGAAGTCGCCTGCACCTGCTGACGGTGATTGCTCCTCTGGGCTGGCTCAGCGTTGCTGAGATTTTTGGGCTCGAGGCTAGAGTCCCACCTTCAATACTCACGCCCTGTATCTGTCGGGCATTACAACACTCTGCCTGCTTCCCGATCTTGTCGGAGACGTACATCGCGCACTGGGAACGAAACCAAATTCCCAGCCCAGCGTGGAACCTCGGATGATGGGTTGACTGGATCCTCCCCCTGCTACGTGAGCTTGCTTACCCTAAGGGGGGGCTCATATAAGTGCCATTACAGCAGCGAGTCAAACACATTATGTTTTTTTATCAGTCTACTAGCTTCTCGTGAGTGGCGAAGCCTTTTTGCATACTGTGCACTTACGGCCTGACTCGTCAAGTGCGTGAGCGGAGGCAGAGGCGGCTGGGGCTGTTGGTCTGGCGGGCTCGGTGCTGGCGCGCCCAGGCTGCCTCCTGCCAGCCGGGCCCCCTTGCTCTTCTGCTCACGCTGGGCTCGCCGCTCGAACTCGAGGAGGAGGAGGAGGAGGAGGAGGAGGAGGAGGGAGAGGGAGGAGGAGGAGGAGGAGGAGGAGGAGGAGGAGGAGGAGGAGGAGGAGGAGGAGGAACTCTAGGGCCTCAGTGGTGAACAAGAAGGCGCATCAGCGATTGAGCAATCAGCCATCCGTCCGAGCTCCCTCTTCATGGGGTCCTGCAAGAATCTCAGGTCCTGCCGTGAAGTGCAGCAGTCGTCAGACAGCCGCCAGAGCATCCCCAGCCATGCCCAGACACACCTGCGGGGACTGCGGCGCTGCGAACCAACGTGACTGTTGCGTCCTGGCGACCTCAGGATGGAACAAAACACACACAGGCACAATGAATCGTCGATTCCCAGGAGAATGTGGGAAAATATATGGGCAGTGGGGGGGAAGGCAGAAACCCAGAACATATAGGAAACTATGGGGAATCCTGTTCGTTGTGTGCATTTATGTGTGTGTCCTGGGGCCCCTTCACGATCCCAGGTCGTGCCGGTACGCCATTGCCGGGACTGCAACGCTGCGAGGCAAGGTGGCTCTGTGGCGTCCTGGCAGCCGCAGATCGTGCCAGGCACCCCACTCCCACATCTTCACCCATGCGAATCTCGGGTCGGGCGAAAGGGAGGGATTGGGAAAGGGGGGGTTACGAAATTTGCTGCATGCAGCTGGTTTCGGCCTCACCGAGGGGCCCATTCCTCGATACATAGCTCCATCCGGCGCCGGGAGGCGCCGGGAAAATCAGGTACGTGAGCTGATTCTCAAACCCCCCCTTTGCTATCCCCCCCTTTCGCCCGACCCGAATTGAGCAATCGGCCATCCGTCCGAGCTCCCTCTTCATGGGGTCCTGCAAGAATCTCAGGTCCTGCCGTGAAGTGCAGCAGTCGTCAGACAGCCGCCAGAGCATCCCCAGCCATGCCCAGACACACCTGCGGGGACTGCGGCGCTGCGAACCAACGTGACTGTTGCGTCCTGGCGACCTCAGGATGGAACAAAACACACACAGGCACAATGAATCGTCGATTCCCAGGAGAATGTGGGAAAATATATGGGCAGTGGGGGGGAAGGCAGAAACCCAGAACATATAGGAAGCTATGGGGAATCCTGTTCGTTGTGTGTATTTATGTGTGTGTCCTGGGGCCCCTTCACGATCCCAGGTCGTGCCGGTACGCCATTGCCGGGACTGCAACGCTGCGAGGCAAGGTGGCTCTGTGGCGTCCTGGCAGCCGCAGATCGTGCCAGGCACCCCACTCCCACATCTTCACCCATGCGAATCTCGGGTCGGGCGAAAGGGAGGGATTGGGAAAGGGGGGGGTACGAAATTTACTGCATGCAGCTGGTTTCGGCCTCACCGAGGGGCCAATTCCTCGATACATGGCCGCTCCCGGCGCCGGGAGGCGCCGGGAAAATCAGGGACGTGAGCTGATTCTCAAACCCCCCCCTTTGCTATCCCCCCTTTCGCCCGACCCGAGAATCCTAGAAGCTACTGCAAACTTGAATTTGTGCAGCGCTGAGGCGAGAGACACACTTTGAAGACGGCCCGCCCTCCATCCGCGGAGTTGGTGCAGTTGTTCAGGACGACTGTGAGTGGCGCTAGGGCGGCCAGCATATTTTGCAAGCGGCCGCATGTTGAACATGTTTGAGGACGCCTTTGCGCGGCGCAAAGGCGAGTATCACATTTTGAAAAGCGCCCGCGCTCCATCCGTGAAGCTGCTGCACATGTTCACGACTAATGTGGGTGGCGCTGAGGCGAGAGCCACATTCTGAACACGGCCCGCTCTCTGCCCGTGAACCTTCTGGAACCTTTTGCGGCAAATGCGCGCGGCGCTGAGGAAAGCGTCCCATGTTGAAAACGGCCCGCTCCCCATACGTGAAGGTCGCATTGTCCTGAGTAGACCCCCGACGCGCGCAGCTTCTCATGCGAGGCCATGGCCTCACCCGCCTCGCCCTTAAGGGGCCCGGGCGCATGCCCGCACAGGCGATCCGCATCCGCATCCGCATCCGCCCCCCATACGTGACGTGAAATTGCTGCAGCGTTGAATCTTTCGGGTCGCGTGTGGTGAGGACGTCTCTGGCGAGCCGGCGGACCCGCCCTGCCGACGCGCCTATGGGGTGTGACAGGGAGGGGTTGCTTGTGAGGAAGAAGGACTTGGCATCGCTCGGACGTGTGCATTTTTTCTCGGCGAGAACCATTGAGGAGCATCCTTGTTCATTTGGAGAAAAAAACACGCACGAAACCAAACAAAACACAGGAAATGGGCGTCCGAGCGATGGCCAGAGGAAGAGCGGTGGAGGAGGAGGAGGAGGAGGAGGAGGAGGAGGAGGGATGATGTACGAGGCGGGTGGGAAGACGGAAAGCGCCGGGCAGAGGAAGGAGGAGAGGGGAAGGAGTTGGGGGGGAATAAGAGACACACGATCGGATGTTGAGGTGGGGGGGGGTCACGGGTCCTGGTTGGCTGCCGGTCGCCTGGGGGGGGGTGAATAGGGAACAATGATAGACCCCTCATTGAGGGGGAAGAAAGAAGATGGAAGAGGAAGTTCGCTAGACCATGCAAGCCCTCAGGGGCTGGCGGGATTATTATTACGAAGGCCTTACGGCTTGTGCCGCCGACCCTGCAGGGGGACGACGACGACGACAACGGCGGCGGCGGCGGCGGCGACGACGCTGACGTGGGTCAGAGTCCGCAGGGATGCTTTATGGGGTCTCTTCGGAAGACTCTCGGGGGCCTCCGGGGAGGACTTTTTGGGGGGAGGGCCTGTTGGGAGCCCCCAAATGGGGGGCCTCTGCGGGCTTCCTGGGTGCGTCCTGTGGGCCTCTCGGGGACCTCTTGGGAACCTCTCTTGCCTCTCGGGGCGCGGAGGCGCGGAGGAGGAGCGGCGCCGGAGGGAGGAGCCTGGGGAGGAGCGGGCGGAGGGGGGGCGGGAGCAGGCGGGAGCAGCGCGCGGGGGTCTGCGCAAGGGGCGCGGGCGTGGGCCTCGGAGCCGCTCGAGGCCGGGGGAGGCAGGCTCTGCCGAGGGGAGGCCGGGGGGAGCGGCGCCGACCGCGGTCGCAGGAGGAGGAGGAGGGAGGAGGAGGGAGGAGGAGGAGGAGGAGGAGGAGGAGGAGGAGGAGGAGGAGGAGGAGGAGGAGGAGGAGGAGGGAGGAGGAGGAGGAGGAGGAGGAGGAGGAGGAGGAGGAGGAGGAGGAGGAGGAGGAGGAGGAGGAGAGGAGGAGGAGGAGGAGGAGGAGGAAGGAGGAGGAGGAGGAGGAGGAGGAGGAGGAGGAGGAGGAGAGGAGGAGGAGGGAGGAGGAGGAGGAGGAGGAGGAGGAGGAGGAGGAGGAGGAGGAGGAGGAGGAGGAGGAGGAGGAGGAGGAGGAGGAGGAGGAGGAAGAAGAAGAAGAAGAAGACGACGACGAAGAAGAAAAAGAAGAAGAAGAATAAGAAGAATAATAAGAATAATAATAAGAAGAAGAAGACTAAGAAAAATAATAATAATAAGAAGAAGAAGAAGAGGAGGAGGAGGAGGAAGAAGAAGAGGAGGGGGTCTGGGGCAGAAGCGAGCGAAGAGGAGGAGGAGGAGGAGGAATCTGCTGGTGGGCTTCGGGGCTTGTGTGTGTGCATGTGTGTTTGCTTTGGGGCTTTGTGTGTGTGTGTGCATGTGTGTGTGTGTGTGTGTGCGTCTGCGTCTGCGCCGTGCGCCGTGCGCCGTGCGCCGTTGCGCCGTGCGCCGTGCGCCGTGCGCCGTGCGCCGTGCGCCGTGCGCCGTGCGCCGTGCGCTGTGCGCGTGCGCCGTGCGCTATGCGGGTGCGCGTGCGCGTGCGCGTGCGCGTGTGCGTGTTTGCGTGAGTGTGCGCGCGTGTGTGTGTGTGTGTGTGTTGTGTGTGTGTGTTTTGTGTGTATGTGTGTGTGTGTGTGTGTGTTTGGTGTGTGTGTTGTGTGTGTGTGTGTGTTGTGTGTGTGTGTGTTGTGTGTGGGGGCTCCAGGGACTCCGTAGCGCACTTCCGTTCCCCCATGCCGCTCTTCGTTTCTCCCCCCTCCCGTCTCCCACTCCTCCCTCTGTTCGATCTTTTGCATGCGCTCCCCCCGTGGCTCCAGTATCCTTCCCTTCGCCGTTCGTTATTCCATGCCTCTCGCAAGGCACGCGTGTGCCACACGAAGGCGTCCCAAGAGGCCCCGCGATGGCACCTCGTCCCCGCTGGCGTTTCTCGAGTTCGTCGTCTCCGAATTCTTCCGAATTCTATCCTCCCTTCTGGTTGTCTTCTCTTCTCCTGTACACAGATCGAGGGAGTGGCGGGGTTGCCGATCCAGAGTGTGGAACGCCCCACAGAGGCCGCAGGCCTTCTTCGGCAGAATCCGATCAGCCCATCGGTGCCGAACTGGAGAAGCCATGGTTGCATCACTGTGTGCCGAACTGGCGAACTTTTAATGTGACACCTTCGAAGGAGTGGTAGTGTGGGAGGGGTCATCCATGGCGCGCTCCATTATCAACGTGACCAAGAACATCCTGGGGACCTCGTGCTTTGCTTTTCCGTGCTGTTGATATCTGCAATGGTGCTGTTCCAGGCCGCGCAGATTGGTCTGGAGCGCGCGGGACCAGATGATCGTGCCGCATCGCCGAGCGATGCAGAGAACGAGTTCTTCCATCCCGACGTCGCTGGTGATGATGCACCGGCGATGTGGTGGGATCTTCGGTCCCCGGTTGTTCTGACCCTGCCTGACCCACCCAGGGGCATTGTGGTGTACACAATCGCTGTGATATGCACGGGCATTGCTGTTCACACAGGCCCTTTGGTGTACATAGCTGCCGTGGTGTATACAGGCGCTCTGGTGCACAGACGCTGCTGCTGCTGCAGCGTTTGTTGTGCACACGGTGTTGAGGTGCAAATAGTGGTATGCAGGCGTCGTGGGCTCCGGAGGAAGGACCGTGCCCCGGGCCATCTATAAACAATAGTCACAAGCAGTTGTCATACGGTTTGCTGGATGTTGGCTCCGTCGGGACCTTGAAGATGTATTGAGGCGAACAGGTTGCGTGGTACACATCTGGTGTTTAAGCAGCAGCTTTGCTGCATACGGGCATTGTGGTGTGCAATAGCACTGTGGTGGAAACGGGCGCTGTGGTGCAGCAGCTGTTGTGTACAAATCTTTCGTGGCGTACGCAGTCATTGCTGTGTACACTGGCACTGTGGTGCACGCAGGCATTATGGTGTACACAATCGCCGTGGTCTACTCGCGCACTGCGGTGTAAACAGGCACCGAGGTGTGCACACGCACTGTTGTGCACACAGGTGTGCACGGGCGTTGCGGTGCACTCAGGTACTGTGGTGTACACAGGGCATTGTGGTGTATAGAGGCACCTTGGTGTAGCACACAGGCATTATTGTTTACACTTGCCCGCTGTTCGCAAGCACTGTGGTGTTCTCGCAGGCGTTGCAGGGTACACAGGCGTTGTGGTGAACCCCAGAGGTCCCGCCGCGGGCATACTGTGGCGCGCAAAAGCTCTACGTCCGCTGCTCGTGGCTACTCTCCGCAAGCCCCTCCGCTGTGCCTAGCTATCCTTGCCATGTCCTCTCCTACATGCTAATCCTAGCTGTCCTCAGCTAGTCCCAGGCAATTCCAGACGGCGACGGTGCGAAACGTGACGTTATCCAGCTGCTTGCGGCAAGTCCCGCCAACGGGCTTTGGTTGTTGGTATGAATCCTGGTGGATATTCGTTGGAATCTCGTGGGGGGGCTCTCGGGAGCTTGTTGGAGGCGGGGCCGTTTGGGGGCCTCTTGGATGCCTCTTGGGGCTTCTTGAGGCCTCTTGGGGGCATCTTGGGGCCTCTTGGGCGCCTCTTGAGGCCTCCCGATGGCGTCTTGGGGCGGCAGGCTCAGCTGTTCGGCTCGCGTTCCTTCTCTCAGGCCTCTTCTCGGGCCGTCTTGGGGCCCTCTTGGGCCGTCTTTGAGGTCCTCTTGGGCCGCCTTGGGGGCTCTTGGGCCGTCTTGGGGCCCTCTCGGAGGCCTCTTGGGACGTTTTTTTTTCTGACGGGATCGTTCTTGGGGGCCTCTTGGGCCGTTTTGGAGCGTCAGGAAGCAAGAACTGCGAGAACGCCCAAATCATTCACACATCTTAGAACATCAATGAGTTTTGCCTCTTGGGGTCGTCTTGAGGAGGCCTGTTGGAGGCCTCTTGGAGGCCTCTTGGAGCGTCTTGAGGCTTGTTAGGCCATCTGGAGGCCATCTGTGGCGTCTTCGAGCGATCGTTTGGCGAATCGGGGCCCTCTTGCAAAGGCTTGGGGGCCTCTTGGGCCGTCGTGGAAGCCCTGGAGGGCCCCAGGGACGCGCCATGGCCGCCCAGGGACCCCCCAGGAGTGGTGCAGTCGGCGGGGTGCTACTGGAGCGGGTGGGGGGCCCCTTAGACGACTACGGAACCCCAGCCATGCAGCCCTTGGCATTCTGCCGCGCCTCAGCGTGCCGCAGACACGGTGGCGGATCTGCCAGGCGGGGGCGGCGGGGGGCAGGGTCGGTGACGGCCGTTATCGCGGGGAATCCAGACAGGCCTTGGGTGAATCGATCACGTGTGAAAGGGGCTTGTTAGTCTGGAAGCCTGATGGCGTCTTCGCAATCGTTTCGGGGAAAATCGGGGCCCTCTTGCAAAGGCTTGGGGGCCTCTTGGGCCGTCGTGGAAGCCCTGGAGGGCCCCAGGGACGCGCCATGGCCGCCCAGGGACCCCCCAGGAGTGGTGCAGTCGGCGGGGTGCTACTGGAGCGGGTGGGGGGCCCCTTAGACGACTACGGAACCCCAGCCATGCAGCCCTTGGCATTCTGCCGCGCCTCAGCGTGCCGCAGACACGGTGGCGGATCTGCCAGGCGGGGGCGGCGGGGGGCAGGGTCGGTGACGGCCGTTATCGCGGGGAATCCAGACAGGCTTGGGTGAATCGATCACGTGTGAAAGGGCGCCACTAGTCTCAAGCTGATTTCGAGGGCAACCCGGGCAAAACCCTTGCAGTTGCCAGCGGGGGCGGAGGCCTCCTGGAGCCAGGAAGAAGGGTTTTGGCAGAGTGCCCCTGAACCACCCATGCCCAGAGTGCTGGAGAGGGCACCAGTCAAACCGAGCAGCCCGTCTTGGTGTTATCTTGTTGGCCTCTCGGGCCGACTGTATTAGACTCCTCCTCCTCCTCCTCCTCCTCCTCCTCTTCCTCCTCCCCCCCCCTCCTCTTAGACCTGTGCGGGAACGGACGGGACTCGACGATCTCTCGGCGACTCGGACCGGCCCTCGAGGGCTCCCAAGACGGGCCCACACAGGCTCCCGAGACGGCTCCATACGCCCCCGAAACAGCGCCCCAGAAGTTACCACAGAGAGCGCCCCAGGCGCGCCCGAAGTTCCAGAGTTTATCGGGGCCCCAAGAGGGGCATTTATCAGTGGAGGAAAAGGAACCCATACCTCTACCCTTCTCTTGTTTTCCCCTCATTTGGTCTCCCCGGAGGCCCTCGTCGCCACCGCTGGATTCGCCTCGAAATTCTGGTCAGAACGCACCCCAGGAGAGGTCTGGGGAGTAGCGGTATCGGTACCTTGCGGTTTCCCCAAAGAGCACCCAGGCGCGCCCGAAATTCCAGAGTTCCTCATGGCCCCAAGAGGGGTATTTAGATATTTAGTTTGGGATTGTTCGAGGGGATTTGAAGGCACTCCACTCGATGCCTCACGGCATAGAGGCGGACCCTGTTGTGGAACAAGAAAAAACGTTATAAGCATAAATGTTCAGCGTTCTGCGCGGATTTCTTGGAGCTGCGATGGGCCCTTCAGCGGCGCCTCTGGCGCAGGCCCTGGCGCGCTCCGCGCGCAATGGAGGGGAGTCCAGCGTGGATCCAAAAAATCCGCGCGGAGCGCCAAAAATCTATGTGTATGTCGTTTTTGTCTGTTTCTACATGTGCATCCTCTTGTGGGGCCACCTAGCGGAGCTGTTCGACTCTTAGTTCTACTCTGGCTCGACTTCTAGGTCGACTCAAGTTGGACTCAAGTCGACGGACGCTCGATGCAGCCTCGACGCATGAGTGGACTGAGTGGCTCCAAGAAGGCCCCTAGAGCGAGCATAACATGCCACGAGTCCGTGCTGTCCCCAAGCGAAGGGTGTCCCCCACGTGGCAGCGCCTATGTGAACCCCCAAGGACTGTCAAAGGTCGAGCCGCTCGTAGGCCTTGCAGATTTGCCAGTGATGCTCCTCCGCCCTCCTCCCTCCTCCTCTCTCCACCCCTCCTCGTTGTTCGAGAGGCTTCAAGAGGCTTGCGCCATGCCGTGGACCCCCAGGAGAGGACAACCACGTCCTGCTTGCAATGTCGCATGTGTTGTTTACCGCGTCTCGTCGTGTTGCCGGCGTGTAGCTACAGCCGCGTTGTCCTCTTCTTGCTTCTACAGCAATGCCTCACAGTGTTCCAGCATGATATAACCCATTCATTTTTGCAGGCCTGCGCTGAACACACCCCGTCGGACTGCCCGAGGAGGTGGTTGTGTGTTGAAGCTTCCTCTGGAAGGTCAAGTCAGGGGGATTATTCGCGATGTCGTTTGGCAGCCAGGTGATCACGCGTATCATGCAAATTTAGACCGCAGCATAGTAGTTGGATGATTTGGCTCGATTGGGTCACAGAGCGCCCATCGCGAAATTAGCGCAATGTATGAGGGTAGCGCAAGCCACCTGGTTCAATACGGCCAACAGCAGGACGGAGCAACGACGAAAGATCGGGAGGAGCCATGCCTACAGCAACCTTGTAGAATAATTCCGCAGCAGCAACCTCACAGAGTATACACAGCAGAGCCAGGTTGTGCGCTCGCAGAGTTGACTCTGCCGCGAAGCCGACCGCATCCAAATCCAGGATTCGACGTCGTTGAGTTGCCTCAAGACGTCGAGGCGAAAACGAGGGAATGGCAGCGGCATGCCGTGCCTTCCCAGACATGCGACGCCTTGTTTTTTTTCAATACCGGGGTGCCCGGAAGCCCCGACCCTCTTTTTGGGACCCCCCAAACTGGGTGGTGAGATACCAGGTGGCGACCTGGAATTCCCCAAAAGGTCACCGCTGGGTTTGGGGACGCGGGGTCACCACCGGGTTTTGTGACCCCTGGACCCACCAGTGTCCGGGACATCCTCGGAAAGCCGCACGAGTCCCCAAACTGGGTGGTGACACCAAATCGCCCGAGACTCACCGCCAGGTGTTGTCACCACCACGTTTGGGGACTGCCAATCTTTCCCCAGGGCCAGTTTGCCGTCCCGAGTTTCTGCTGAACGCCCCTGGGGCCCGGCGAGGGCTCCGAGAGGCCGAGAGCGCCCCCGGCTCCTGCGCCGCGAGATGCTCGCCACGGCGCCGGCAGCGCCTGCGGCGGGCTCCGTCCTCCGAGCGCGGAGGGCGCCCCCCCCCAAGCGAGGCGGGGCGCGGCACCTCCTCCTCCTCCTCCTCCTCCTCCTCCTCCTCCTCTTCCTCCTCCTCTTCCTTCTCCTGCTTGTTCTCCTCCTGCTCCTGCTCCTCCGCCTCCTCCTCCTCCTCCTCCTCCTCTTCCTCCTCCTCCTCTTCCCTCTCCTCCTCTTCCTCTTCCTCCTCCTCCTCCTCCTCCTCCTCCTCCTCTTCCTCCTCCGAGCGCGGAGGACACCCGCGGAGTCCGGTGCGGGGCCTCTTTGGCCGCGTCCTCGAAGGCCTCGGGCTCCTGGATGGGGTCGGAGTGTATTCGGGGGCGGAAAAGAGGGGGGTGATGACTAGGGGGGGGGGGATCTCATTGCGTGGGCCATGATGTTTCCCCAGATTTCGTGGCGCCCCTTCTTGTTTTATTACGTCCCAGGCCCCCCCGCCGGGCCGCGCACATGCCGCCGGGCATGATTTGCACCCCCCCCTCTTGGACACCCCCTTCTTGGCCGCTCCCGATATATGGATGGGGTCGGAGGATCGCGCCGCATCGCCGATGCGGCTCGCCGATGCGGCTCGACGTCGGGGCCCGAGTTGCTTCGCGTCGTCGTCGCCGGTGCGCCGCCGATGTCGACGATGCATCGCCGGTGCATCACCGATGCCCCGCCGAAGTATCGGCGATGCGGCGCGATCCTCCGAGCCCATCTCTACTCCGACCCCAGCTGGGAGGCCTCTGTCAGAGGCCTCGGGGCCCGCCTCGTGGGAGCATGCTCGGGGCTCCTGGAGGCCGTGGGACCAAAAAAACAACAAAAAAACAAAAACAAACATACACACACAAACACACACAAACACACACACAAACACACACAAACACACACACACACACACACCTTCTTGGATGCTCAGCGTGTTGGAGTCCTTTTGGAGCCATCGGGGAAGGCATCGGAGGCCACGAAGGGAGGATCTCTGGAGGCTCCGAGGGCCCTGGAGGTGCGTCGAGGAGCTCGTATGAAGTCGGGCGTGCCTCTACAGGAGGAATATTCAAAAATAGGCAAAAAGTAATCAGGGGGCGATGTTTGAGTATTTTTTGGGGCGATGCTTTAGTATTCTTTGGATATGGTTGTCGACTTTCGCCCCAAATTCGCCTGTAGGGGGACATGCCCGACCCAAAGCTCGTCCCCCCAAGCCCCCCTCTGGTAACGAGCTCGTCCCCCACCACCTTTGGCCACATTCTGAGATTTGGGACCATGGGGGGAGGGGGAGGGAGGGGGGAGGGGTAGCCGTTTCCAGCCCCGAAGTGGGGCTCGGCGGATCTTTCTCTTCCTCCCCCTCCTCCCTCCCTCCCTCCGCCCCCTTCTCGCGCGCGCTCCCGCCCCTTGGCCTCCAGGGTCGGCATGCTGAGTCTACCCAGCGGTGTTGCAGCGGGAACCGGGATCGTGCCCGCGATTTGTCACCGGGCCGGGGGGGAGGACACTCTGCCGACGGCTGCGGGCACGAGGGAAGCGGGTGCGAAAGGAGCGGGGGCGAAGACGGACGGCGGCTCTTGGCAAGTCTGCGCTGCACTCGGTGTTCTGCGCAGCCCTCGGCGTCGATGTCGTCGCGGACGTTGCCCAAGTTGAGGAGGGAGGACACTCTGCCGACTGCGGGCACGATGGAAGCGGGTACGAAAGGAGCGAGGGCGAAGACTGCAGTGCGGTGCGAAAGGAGCGGGTACGGAAGGAGCGGTGCGACGGCGGCTCTTGGCAATTCTGCGCGGCACTCGGCAATTCTGCGCAGCACTCGGCGCCGATGTCGTCGCGGACGTTGCCCGAGTTGAGGAGGGAGGAGGGAGGGAGGGAGGGAGGGAGGAGGGAGACAAAGAGTCTCTGCCCAGCAGTTGCCCCTGTCTGTGTGTTGACAACCTTTTTGAGCTGGGCAGCGTGCCCGTGTTGTCCGTGCGCCCATGTCGGGCAGGCCGAGGCCTGCACCTGCCTCCTCGCTCCCGGGGGTGCCGCACGTCGGCCACGCCTCCGTCCTGCCACCACTGCCTCCCGTTACCCTCCCCCCTCCATTCAAGCCCTCCTCCTCCTCTTCCTCCTCCTCCTCCTCCTCCTCCTCTTCCTCCTTTCCCTCCCCGTCCTCTGGTTCTCATGGAGTTGTCTTGCGCTGGCCTCTGTAGCAAGCCCGCTTCGGGCTCGCTCCAGCCCCCGTCGGTGTTTTCCAGCCATGGTCCCTTCCGCTATTGCACAAGTGTTGGCCTCCTTTGTTTCCGATTCTCTGTGCCTCCTCCTGAGCTGGAACTCGGATCCGCAAGCGTCGCTCGTGGTGGACCCCCCCCTACAAGCACAGTTGGAGTCGAGAGCAAGCATGACCATGCAGTTGACAGGGACAAGGGAAGGCGGGCTGCTGAAGCGTCCGTCATGAATCGCAAGGAAGTCTCGAGCGATAGCGCGACTCCCAGGCACACCTGGAGCCGCTGGTGTCAGGAGCAACCACGCCCAGCACCGGTGGCCTGCCAGCACGGCGCGACATCGCGCAACACACGACGCGTGGAGCGACTACCGACGGTCGTGAGCAGGCGCGGGCCTCGCGTTCCCGTGCGCAGGGAGGCTTCGGCAGAGAAGGGGCGGGCCTTCTCCGAGGGCTCGGAAGTCCCACGGCCTTCTGGGAAGTCTCCTAAGTTTTCCCCGAAGACAAACGAAACACCTCTCAGAAGGCGCGGGTTTTTTTCTTGAGTCCCGCCGCCTTCTGAGAGGGCATCCCCCTCTCCTCCTCCTCCTGCCTCATCCTCCTCCTCCTCCTCCTACTGCTCCCCGTCCTCCTCCTCCTCCTCCTCCTCCTCCTCCTCCTCCTCCTTCTTCCTCCTCCTCCTCCTCCTCCTCCTCCTCCCCCTCGCTCACCGCCAACGTGCGCAGGAGTCCTCCGCAGTCCCACGAGCACTGCCGCGAGGGCGCAGAGCGACGCCGCCTTCTGAGAGGGCATCCCCCGGAGGTGGACAGAACCCCCAACAGTGACACGTCGATTAGTGAATTGTCCGTTTTCGGTTCTCGAGAGGGCGCCGCGGCCGTCATTTTCCAGGCTTGCGCCCGCCAGGTTTGGGCCCGAGGTCGTTTTCACTAAACCGCGTTTTGCTAAAGGGAGGTTTGTCCATCCCCGAAAGTTTTCCCCGAAGACAAGCAAAACACCTCTCAGAAGGCGCGGCGGTTTCTTTCTTAAGTCCCGCCGCCTTCTGAGAGGGCATCCCCCTCGCTCACCGCCAACGTGGCGCAGGAGTCCTCCGCAGCCCCGCGAGCACCGCCGCGAGGGCGCAGAGAGACGCGAGGCCTGCGGCGCTCGAGCGCGGGCCCCGTGGTACGGTGGGGGCCCATGCCACGAGACGCCCTGCCCGCCTCCAGGGCGCCCGGGGTCTCTCGGGTCTCGATGGCGTTGCCATGTGAAGCGTGGCGTTCTCCCACACTCAAAAATCCGTGGGACGCCCCGTGGTCTTGGGGTTGGGCTTCTCGTGGAAGGTGTCTTGTGGACTGGCCCCCTTTGCCAAGTCAAGCGTGGCGTTCTCCCACACTTAAAAATCAGTGGGATGCCCCGTGGTCTTGGGGTTGGGCTTCTCGTAGCAGGTTTGGTTGTGGACTGGCCCCCTTGCTACAGTCAACGCGCATAGTAAGGACAAACGACTTCTTCAAGGGTACCCTTGGGCCCTTGTCTGCCTCAGCCTCTGCGGCCCGTCCCTGGCAACTTTCGCAGGCCAGCTTCTCAGGTTCCCTGGGGGTTTGGCCGCCTGCCGCCCAGAATGCTTTAACTTCGGCCTCCAAGGGTCTTGCGTCCTTACCACGCGTCCTTCCTATACGTTTTCACTGCATGCTGACCGCAGCCGCGGCCCGGTGTCTCGCGCCGAGGGCCGCCGCCGACGGCCGCCAGGGAGGCCCGGCCGACCGGGGAGTCGCCGGCGACCGCCCGGATTATCACCGAGGCCGCGGGTGGCCGGCCCGGGGCCCGCGGTCGACCGAGCAATTTTCGGGACGATCGAAATGGGCGGGGGTGGACAGAACCCCCGACAGTGACACGTCGGTCAGTGAATTGTCCGTTGTCGGTTCTCGAGAGGGCGCCGTGGCCGTCATTTTCCAGGCTTGCGTCCGCCAGGTTTGGGCCTCAGGTCGTTTTCACGAAACCACGTTTTACTAAAGGGGGGTCTGTCCATCCCCGAGAAACGGGTACAATTGACGCGGACAAGCAGGTCGGCCCTGCCCAGTCAAGGGTACTCTTGTGTCCTGTGTGTTCGTGTCTCGCGCCTTCTGCATTCCTGTGGCCATCTGGCCCTCGGGAGGTTCTTTGGTCCTCCATTCGTGTCCTCTCCAATCCGCCCCGACTGCACGGCAAGACCGGATACGATTCCCAACAGCGGTTCTTGCTTGTTTTAATCAAGGCTCGCTGTCCGCGCCGCCGCGGGCGCTGTTCACCGAAGACATATACCGCCGCCTGCCCCACAGAGGCCGCTGTCGGTGTTGGATAACATCTATTCTTGGGCATTGTGTGCCGATGATTTCCGTGCCCATTCCGGGCGCCAACAAAAACTAGCGGCGCCCACAAGTGGGCCGCGCGAGGGGGGCGGCCTTCTATGGAGGCGGATGGGCTTTGCAGATGGCAGGGGCCTTCTTGGGAGGGCTGGTGGCTTCTAGGGAGGCTTCTTGGAAGCCAACCACCACCCCGCGCCCCCCCCCTGTGGGCACGACCCAGCAAGGTAGGCCGATCGGTGCCAGATCCGGGGAGGGAAGGTCTCACGGTGCTGCTCGGCATGCACTCCGGATGGACGTTTTCGCTGTTTGGCCGAGCTTGCGAGTCGACGGGCGCCAGTGACATCCGAGGCCTAGGACGCGGGCGCAAGGGGGGGAGCAGGAAGAGGAGGAGGAGGAGGAGGAGGAGGAGGAGGAGGAGGGGGAGGAGGAGGGAGAAGGAAGGAGGAGGAGGAGGAGGAGGAGGAGGAGGGGAGGAGGAGGAGGAGGAGGAGGAGGAGGAGGAGGAGAGGTGGAGAGGAGGGGAGGAGGAGGGGGAGGTGGAGGGGAGGAGGAGGGGGAGGATGAGGAGGAGGAGGAGGAGGAGGAGGGAGGAGGAGGTGGCGCGGGCGCAAGGGGGGGCGCAGGAAGGTGGAGGAGGAGGAGGAGGAGGAGGAGGGGAGTAGGGAGGAGGGAGAAGTAAGGAGCGGAGGAGGAGGCGGAGGAGGAGGAGGTGGAGGAGAGGAGGAGGAACGGAGGAGGAGGAACGGAGGAGGAGGAACGGAGGAGGAGGAGGAGGAGGAGGAGGAGGAGGAGGAGGAGGAACGGAGGAACGGAGGAGGCGGAGGAGGAGGAGGAAAAGGAAGGGGAGGAGAGTAGATGAGATCAGAGCGAAGCAGAAGCTCGCCGATCGATGCCGGCGCGATCCACCCCTGCGCCCGAGGCGCGGGAAAGGCCAGCGGCCTCAGGAGGTCCTTCATGGCCCCGCCGTGCGGGCTGCAGCCAGCCGAGCCTCGAGCGCCGCGCACTCGTCGCTCGCCAGCTCGTGCACCCGCCTGGCTGGCGCCACGGCCTCGTCGGCGGCCTGCTGGTCCAGCGCTGCCCTCGCCTCCGTCTTGGCCTTCCTGCTCGGGGCGGGCGCGGGCAGCCGCGAGCCCGCCTCGGGCGCCTGCCTGCCTGCCCCTGCCGCCGAGCCCCCCGGAGGCCTCTCGATGGACCTCGTCCTCGCCGCCGAGCTCCGAGGCGGCCCGAGGCGCCTGCAGCGCCGCCAGCTCCGCCCCGATCTCCGCGTCGTCGTCGTCGTCGTCCACCTCGTCGACCTTCACTTCCTCGCTGGTCGCCTGGACCCTGCCGCTGCTCACGACGTCGACCACCTGCACCCCGAGCGACTGCTTGGGCCAGAACACCGAGGCAGTGCCCTCGAGGTCGCCGCACACCAAGGCGGCAGCGGCATGGCCGTGTGGGCGCAGCACCCCGCCTTCAAAGTAGATGCTCGGTTCTGAAGTTCTGGATTGCACTTGCCACAATATGTCACAGGCTGTGGCCAACTGTCTGTACCAGTGCCTGGGCCTGGGGGAGCCGCTCCCAGGACTGGCTCCCCCAGGCCGCGCTTCCAGCTGCACGTGCCGTCGAAGCCCTGCTTGGCGGCCTCCACCGCCTCGCCGAGCACCTTGCCGTCAAGCAGCTCCTCGTGCTGGGCGGCCTCGATCGCCGCGTCGAGCAGCGCGTCGTCGTTGCCGTCGGGCAGCGCTGCGGCCAGCGCCCTCGCGCGCTTGGCCTGCTGCCTGCGCCTGCGCGGGCGGCGAGGCTCCCGCATCGTCCACGTCGAGCGGCTTCTCCCCATCGGGGACCGCGGCCGGCGCACCGGTCTGCCCCTCGGCTGACGGCAAGCGGATCTGCGCGACCGCCCTCCGCGCCAGCCATCGGCGCGCACAGCACTGTATGCGGGTTGCAGCGGCGGCAAGCCAAGGGAGGCCCTGCATGCCAGCCTGCTGCGACCAGCGCCCCGCGACCAGCGTCCAGCCGCGCGGCGGCACCGCCTCGCCGAATTGCACCTCCAAGCCGAGGGCGCCGAACTTGAGCCCGCACTCGCCGTCGCTCTGCTGCGGCTCCGCTGGAGGGGGCGGGGCGGCAGCAGCGGGGGCCACGCCTCCGCCAGCTGCTCCGGCGTCGGCGAGCCGTGCCGCCTTCGGGTACACGCCCAGCTCCGCGCGCAGGGCCACGAGGTCCGCGCGGAGGGCCGCGATTGCCTCCTCCACCACTGGCTGCCGCGGCGGCCCCACGCGCAGGACGACCTCCAGCGGCCACGCGGGAGGCGGCCAGCAGGCCGCCCCGCAAGCCGTGCACCAGCGGCCGCCGCAGGGCAGGGTCGCCATCAGCAGCGCGTCCAGCAGCTGCACGACTGCATTCGCCCCGTATCAGCCGGGGCCCTCCGCGGTGCAGCAAGCGCGGCAGAGGAGCCCGTCGCCAAGAACGCCTCGGGGAGGCTCGGAGTTTGAGCCAAAATCGCTTGAGCCAAACTGGCCACGGAGAAGGAGGAGGAGGATGGAATAATCGCTCCCTCCAAGCTCCCTCTTCATAGGCCCCTACAATGGTTCATTATCACTGGAGGAGTTGCCTCTATGGAAGATAACCGTTTGAAGATCCTGAAGCATGCCAAAACTTGGTTCTCGGGATTCCAACGCACGGATCAACCTGATTGTTGCGTCTTGGCAACCCTAAATCGCGCCAGAACGCCATTCCTGGGACTTCAACACAGCGAATCAACATAACTGTCGCATCCGCACAATCCTGAATCCTTTCAAAACACAAATTTTGGCACGTCGATGATGGGAATCCGTGAAACCCGTGCAACTTACAAAGAAACACGAATGCGCGCTGAACTATGGCGAGAGCCACATTTTGAAAACCACCCGCCCGCAATCCGTGAAACTCTTACTCATGTTTAAAACGACTGTGCGCCGCGCTCAGGCAGGAGCCACATTTTGAAAGCGGCCCGCCATCAAACCGTGAAAGTCTTGCACATGTTTAAAACGACTTTTTGAAAATGGCCCGCCCTCAATCCGTGAAACTCTTGCAATGTTTAAAACGAATGTACGCCGCGCTCAGGCGAGCACCACTTTTTGAAGACGGCCCGCCCTCAATCCGTGAAACTCTTGCAATGTTTAAAACGAATGTGCGCCGCGCTGAGGCGAGAGCCACATTTTGAAAACGACCCGCCCTCCATCGAGGAGGAGGAGGAGGGAGGGGGGAGGAGGGAGGAGGGAGGAGGGAGGAGGGAGGAGGGAGAAGGGAAGGAGGGAGGTGGGAGGAGGGAGGGGAGAGGGGGTGGGAGGGGGATGGTGGGAGGCTGGGAGGGAAGGGAGGAGGAGGAGGGAGGGGGAGGAGGGAGGAGGGAGGAGGGAGGAGGGAGGTGGGAGGAGGGAGGAGGGGAGGTGGGTGGAGGGAGGAGGGCGGAGGGAGGAGGGAGGATGGAGGAGGGAGGAGGAGGAGGAAGGATGGAGGAGGGAGGGAGGTTGATGGGAGGAGGGGAGGTGAGAGGAGGGAGGGAGGAGGGAGGGAGGGAGGGAGGGAGGGGGGAGGAGGAGGAGGCGGAGGTGGAGGAGGCAGGAGGAGGAGGAGGAGGAGGAGGAGGAGGAGGAGGAGGAGGAGGAGGACCCCCTCCCGGCCCTGGCGCAGATGTGGACGCGCATAACGCCAGGCTCACTTGCATGGATTCCTCAAGCGCCTGGTGCCTCGAGGCTGCGATCCCACTCTGCAGTGCCCCCGGGGTGCCTCGTGGCGCTCTCTGCGTGGTTGGTGATTTGTAGTCATTGCTGCATTCCCATGTCAGTGGTTTCGGTGCTCATGACTGAGGGTGCGTTCTGCTGCCGTAGCAATCGCCCCGAGTATGCTGACCCCAGCCATGCCGCCGTTCGCCGGCGACCAGGGGGCCTCATGAGTTCCTAGGTGCCTGGCGCTGCATGATCTCCAGACGAGAGCCAGACTTCGGATGCCACGGACTTGTCCGCCTGGTTTGTAAGTGGGCCTGGGCGGCTGTCCGCGGCGGTGGTCGCTCGTTCGCTCCGGCGAGAGCACCCTGTGCCCCCAGAGCGTCGCCATTTCCGGCAGGGGGGACGGTCGGCACGTGTGTTGCGCGCCCCTTGAAGTGGAGTCCGCTCCGCGGGAGGTCCACCGCGTTTTTGCGCCCCGTGCAGTTGTCGGTGGACCTCGCCGTGAGCCTCCTGTCCTGTGTCCTGTCACCTCGGAGTGAGGCTCGGGTAGGTTCGGATGCAACTCCTGGGAGGTCAGATTCTGATTCTGCCCTGGTCCGAAATCCAGCTTAATCCCGCTTGATCCGGCTTAATCCCGCTTAATCTCTCGCAATCCGGTTTAATCTCGCTGAATCCGAGGCCCTTTCTGGCGTAACAGCCCCCCGATGGGCCGATGGGGCTCAATCCTCCTTAGTCCTTCCAACGAAGACCTCCCACCAGTTGCCTCCTAACGCTGGGCGGCTGCGCTGCACTCCCTCTGCTCTGCGGGGCCATTCGGGCAGCGGCAAGGTGCAGCGGCGGGGGGGCCCACGCACCACGGCCGGCTCCCCGCCCCGGGGCAAGAGAGCGGGACGCCCGGAGAGGGACGGCTCGAGCGAGAGAGCCGCCGTCAAGGCGACATGCTTCCCCTTCTCCCCTCCGCCTCCTCCCTCCTCGATCCCATTCCCTCCTCCTTCTGCTCGATCCCCCGCGGAGTCTCAGAACCTCCACCCTCCCCACCTCCCCCCCCCTCACTCCTCTTTTTCTTGCTCCCCCGCGTCCCGCCTCCGGACTGTGCCTCGCTGCCCGCGCGGGTGCTCGTGACAGCCTGGCAGTGTTGTTGATCGCACCCTGGCCCGCCCCCGCCCCCCGGGGCGGATGTGGGGCAGGAGTATACTATAGGGGAACAATCAATGACATAAGCATGAGCATGCGGAGGTCCGCGCGGATGCCTCAGATTTGCACTGGGGCTTCTGGTCGGCACCTCCGGCGCCACCCCCTTGCGCGCTCCGCGCGCCGGTGCGGGGGTCCAGGGCCGATACGAGAAATCCGCGCGGGCCTCCGAGGTTTCTGTGTATGCCATTGTTTGTTCCCCTAAGGTTGTGGAGGGCGGTCAATGGAGAGGAAACATGTTCCCAAATAATTTCCTTATGTCTAAAACATATGTTAAACATGTTTTGAACATGTGAACACATGCTTAAAACATGACTATAACATTTTCCTACATACATTTTGAATTCAGCAAGAGAAAAAAACACGCAAACACAAGTAATCGTCGATTCCCCAGTAAATATAAACACGTATGGGCAGTGGGTGGGGGAAGGCAGAAACCAATCATGTATAATATAAGCGGCGTCCGGGGCCCCGCGG